AGTGCCGCGCCAAAGGCAGGGTCCCGGCGTAGCCCGAGACACGGCACTCGCCGCGCCTCAAGTCTTTGATAAGGCCAAGTTGTACCTGATCTTGTAAGGACAAGAGACAGAGCACGTCCGGGGAGTTCAACTCCACGCTGGAAAGCTCTCCCTGCAAACGAGTGCTCCTGCGGCGGCCTCCACTTTCAGGCATAATGCAAAGCGCGAAAGGCATTGCATATTTTCCCGTCGCTCGGGCCGCTCCTATGCCTTTGAAGCTTGTTCCGCTCGAGCGCACGCTGATGAACTGCAACCCGTACTTTGCCAGGACCTTTGAGGTGTGAGCCCTCCATCTCGTCCCATGGCAAGTTGTATTGCATCCTTCATCCAACATGACCCATATGCGGTCGTGGTCCTCTAAAGGATCCACGAGTTGGAGTCGCGGCTCAGCGATCTCCTTGTCCAGGGGTGCAAGCTCGCTGTCTGAGCTCTGCACACTCTTTGGGCTGATGTCTCCTTCGAGATCATCGCCTTGCAGCTGCCCCACCATGGCTGCGAGGCTGAGCTTGGTGTCCCCTTCGGGATCACCTTCTCCGACCGCCATCCAGGCGGCTTTGTTCCTGGCGCCGCGCCCCTTTCCACTGCTGGGCGGCGTCATCTCCAAACGCGCTAGCGCCCTTGAGCCAGCGGCAGCGGGAGCGGGCGTCTCAGGCTCACGAGGCTGGGAACTCCTACGCTCTCTACGCACAGGAGAAAACGTGGGCAAAGGTGGGGGCTCTACTTCCTGACTAGACCTAGCTGCGTCAGAAAACCTATCATGTCCCATGCGAAACTTCGTCTGCTCTACAACCTGGTCCATCGCATCTTCAAGGAAACTAGACAACTCGGTTGAACTGACTTGGTCAACTTTCAACAAAAACTTGTCCATGTGCTTGAAGAACTTCTTTACCACCTCACCTGCCTCAAACTTCGTAAAGTTGTATTCTTCCAGCTGCCTCCTCGTGAGGTTCTGTACCTTAAGTGGAGACTGCTGCACCTGCTCTGCGAGTCCCTTCTGCTCTTTGAAGAGCTTCTGCGGGATCTCTTCTACTACAGTGCAACAATCCAAACAAAAGGAGCGGTGTACCGATCTCGTGCTGTTTCGGTTGTCGATGCGCTCGTGAAGACACGTGCGCGGGTCGTTCTTCGGTACTGGGTTTGGTCTCGGGGTTGAAGTCCTATTGCCGCACAACATGCATGTAGTCTTTATGACGTGCGCGTTGCTGCCGGCTTTGTTCAGGGCGTGTGCGGGACAGCCACCAACACACGGTCCCTTAGGATCCGCTTTCAACAACCCGAGTTTGCTCTTAGGTGCCCTTTCAAGGGTCACCTCCTTCCGAGCCTTCTGGAGCGAGTCGGCCTCCACTGGCAACGTGACCGCTCTGAGCGCAGCCCTTCCTCCGCCGACTGGCGGAACCTCAAAGTTGCGATACACCCAGATAAGCCATGCTTCTAGCATGGTACTCGGCTCTTTCTCCTTGAGGCCCCAGTGGTAGTAGTCTGGGTGGTTCTGCAAGACCTCAATGTAGGTGCTCCCTTTGTGCATCCCGAACCGAAACGTCTGATCACTGCCCTCTGGGTACTCTATGGTATCCCATTCCGCGGAGGGAGCGCCTTGCGACGCAAAATCGTCCATGAGCTCTTCGTCGGATTCTTCAAGATCACCCTTGTCGAAGAAACCCATGTACGCCGCAGGCTCTGTCTCAGAGTCCTGACCCAAGCTGACGTAGTTTGCTGTTGGCTCTGGGTCAAAGCTGTGACTCTCGCTGTCGCTCTCGCTAGGGCTCGAGGCGCTAAGGTCGCAGGTCTGTGTGGATTTATCCATCACACGACTAGCCTGGGCAAGGTGTGCCACTGCAGGCTTTGCTGCGCCCTTTCCTGGGCCTGGGCATTCTTTGTCGCCTGCCCAGTGCCCTTTTCTGCCGCATGTTTTACACGTACTCCTGAGTTTAATCTCATGGAGTTTCCGTCTCCTGTCTTCAACGGTGAGACCAGTAGAACGCGGCCTGTACCCATGTGCCTTTCCTTGCATCACGGATTTTCCCTTTCCTCGCGCCTTGGCCCGTGCCATAAACGCCACGGTCTCGCACTGCACAGTGTCTGCGAGGAATGCCAAGGCTTCCTTGTCTGCCTCATCGAAACCCTCGGCGCTGATGAAGGCGGTGAAAACATCGAGCTCTACATCCCTTAAGGATGCATCCGCTGTCTGAGCCACCAACTCGGTGTCGTCGTCTTTGTCGTACACGGTACCTTCGCTACCGTGATACGCCCAGTCGTAGTTCTCACCGTCCTGACCTCCCTGCCCGGCCAGGTAAGCTGTTCCTTCGTCGTCTTCTTCAGCGTCGGGATGGTCGAAGAGGTCTTCCACGGCCGAAAGGTACGAGTAGGCGGTCCCCTTCTGGGATCCCTTTCCGTATCCTTTCCCTTTGCCTCGGTCTCCCTTATTGGAATGACCCTTTCCTTTGCCAGTCCCGCCTTTGGCGGACGGCTGCCTTCGTTCCAACGTGTGGATACGACTATGCATGCGGATCAACGATGTCTCAGCATCTTTGGTTGCTGTGCTGCCGGACATCGAGGTCAGCACCATGAGTCGCTCTTGCCGGTTGAGCCCGCTATTATCCAACAACAGATCCGTCAGCACGGCTTCACTTATGTGAAGGGCTTTGTCTAATTGCTGGAGTTTGCGTAGCCATCTCTTGCGTCTGTCGATGTATGAGATCATCGGCTCGCCCGGTTGCCGCGACAACATGCCGCCGACTTGGGTTCCCAATCTGTAAAGTTCCTTTGTCTCTTGTTCTGCCAAAGGAAACAGGCGCTCACGCATCGCCTCGATCACGCTGGGGATATTTTGACTAGAAAACAAAACATCAGTACCCAAATCCTCTGCGACGATGTAAGCCTCGCTCCTTAAGGAGTCGAGAAACTTTGACGCAAGGTCGGGTCTATCCTCGACCTTGGTCTGCTTCCATCTTGTCATAGCTCGGAACTCCCATTCGTGAAAATCACGAACGGTTCCGGCATAGACTAGGAAGCCGAACTTCGTCAGGTCTGTGCCCAGATCCTGGTGTGGTCGGTAAGCCAGCGATCCACTAGCCATGGCGACCACACGCCCGCGCAGGGGCGTCCTATCGGGCTCGAGCTCTGGTTCTCTTAACCGAGAGCTCCGCTACCAGTGCGAAGACTAGTCACTTTTCCGCTAAGCCGTAGGCTTGGTCCAAGGGGCCCCTGCGGTCAAGGGGTTGCATCAAAAGCTGTACAAAACGCTAGGTACACACACTGTACGCGCTGCAAAACAGGTTAGTTTCACAGCCTCTATGTTTCCCACGTCGGTGAAGGCTTTCACCTTTTTGAAGGGCTGCTCACTCAAGGTACCGTCGTCAAAGATGTCCGGCCGAAGCAACTGAGGATTTGTATCTTTGTAACGAATACAATTTCGTGTATATTGTTTAACATGTAATAATCGTTACAACAACATGGTATCTGAAAGCAGACGAGAATCAGACCCCTCCTGTCCCCTGAAGAAGTCAAACTCGCACGCTTGACGAAACGAGGGCTCGATCTCTCCTGTCTTCCCTATCCGCCTGATGTGGTATCGAGAAAGTGCCATAGCGATGCATCTTGCGACAGGCGTCTGCCTTTTCCGACACAGATATGAACAAGGGCGCCAGGGCTCTGAGAACTCTCACATCCAAGTCATAGAGTGTGAGAGGCCACTCTGTGTGAACCTGAGCCAGAACCCCATCCATGCTCAGGTTTCGCAGGGACTTCTCTACCAAAGTAGGATGCCAGCGGTAGATGGGCGAGTCCTTCGAAGTAGTTTGGATGGTAACCCAGCGGAGTTGTCGATTGCGTGTGTGGTCCCGTGGGCCCTGTTTCTCTATGAAATCGAACCCGAAGTCCCATTCCTCCTGTGTTCTCTCGGCCTCTGGTTTGCCTTCCTCAGCAGGTCGGAGGGAGTGTTGCCTGCACTGGAACCCGCCCAGCCTCTCGAACATGAATTGGATGCATTTCTTCATGACTCGCACCTCTCCATGCCAGTTGAACATGTAAGGCTTCCCGTAGCACATGGCGTCGGCCGCTTTTACTTTGACGAGCTTACTGAGGTGAAACATCTTGACGACCGTGTGGTTGCCATTCTGCTGGGGAAGGATTGCCATGTCTAGCTTGAAGGGTGTGGCGACATCTTGACTCAGGCCGAAAGGGGCCGGAAGCTCCTTGTAGGCCTTGCTTTGCAAGCATTCTTTGATTTGAGCATATGGGATGTTGCCGGGCACCTCGGGAACCCAATCCATGAAGCATTTGACGACGCCACTGGTAGGGAAGTCCAGGGTTGGCAAGTCTGCCAGTGTCAAGGGCCCGGGCTGCCCTTCATGAAAGGAGTGGACGTCGGAAGGGTACAACAGGAGATTCTCCACAACTTCTTTGACATCGTCGAGACTTACTTCCCCGGAGACCCATTCTCCCGACATGGTCACTGCGAAGCGATGAGAGACAAGGGACGACAAACAGGATTGTGCCACAATTGCTGTGTTTCGACCTCCATGTGGTTCAAACTCATAGCATGATACCACTCATCGAGTTATTAAACTCACTTATAACACACAACGCACAGACACATCCCCCACCATGACCACACCCGAGGTCCGTGCCTGTCCTATGACTACATATGGATTTCTTACTCCGACACGGCCTCACGGTGGGTCATGGGGGGGGGGTGTGAGCATATATATATATATATATGCCACGAAAAAGAACGAAAATTCTCAAAATTCTACATGGCGTGTCAAGGGTTCGAAGAGTCCAACATCTTAAAGCGCGGCTCAGATTGGTTTAGGGGGGCTTCGGATGAGAGCGGTTTAGGGTTTAGGGTTTAGGGTTTAGGGTTTAGGGTTTAGGGTTTAGGGTTTAGGGTTTAGGGTTTAGGGTTTAGGGTTTAGGGTTTAGGGTTTAGGGTTTAGGGTTTAGGGTTTAGGGTTTAGGGTTTAGGGTTTAGGGCCCCCGCTCCCCGAACCCCCTCTCAGAGATTCCCTCTTTCCCCTGCCCTGCGGCGCATCCCTCATGATGTAGAACAAGTTGTGCTTGTACTCGTTGGCAAGCTCGTTCCTGCTGCATCGGGGTCTCGTTCACATCATGGGCCCGGGGTAATGCCGTAAGCTTTAAACACCAAACCCAAGCAAGGACAAGAAAGTCGGGCGCCCGGAACCATAGAAAGAGCATATCCCCTGAACACATCTGAAGCACGGGGTCTTAGGAATTCTTAGGAATTAGATTTGAGTATTTAGGGCTCAGGCTGTTAGGCTTACTCCTGGAGACGAAGGTAAGATGCAGCCGCAGGATTGGGCCAGCCAAGAGGGTGAGGATGACCGAGTACCTCAGGGAGGCGGAACCAAGCTTCATAAAGTTTCGGGTTTCGGGTTTAGGGGGTTTAGGGGGTTTAGGGGGTTTAGGGGGTTTAGGGGGTTTTTAGGGGGTTTAGGGGGTTTAGGGGGTTTAGGGGGTTTAGGGGTTTAGTTTTAGGGGGTTTAGGGGGTTTAGGGGTTTAGGGGGTTTAGGGGGTTTAGGGGGTTTAGGGGGTTTAGGGGGTTTTAGGGGGTTGAGGGGGTTTAGGGGGTTTAGGGGGTTTAGGGGGTTTAGGGGGTTTAGGGGATTTAGGGGGTTTAGGGGGTTTAGGGGGTTTAGGGGGTTTAGGGGGTTTAGGGGGTTTAGGGTTTGGGGCAGGACACCCAGGGTTTATTCGGGCTTAGGGTTGTGGGACAAGCACAGGATACCTGTTGAAAGAAGCAACGGAAAACTAGGGAAGTCGTCACCCCTCAAGATACTCAGCGCATACACTGTATCATATCTTTATCAGTCGGCATCCAATACATCGATCGCTGTTCCCAAAGTGCAGCAGTGTAGCACAGCCCATACTGGAGGTTTATGGTCTCAGGCTAAGATGTAGAGGGAGCTACATCGTTCAGCGACGGTGCGTGAGGTGCATGATCAGCAAGAAGCCAGTAAAGTGATGTCCCTCGCTAGACGTCCAGACCAGCAGGACGAAGTCAACGAGGGTTCCAGCAGTGCCGATGACCAGCAGGCCAATCAGCATGAGCACAAACTCCTCTCGATGATCAGATGCTAACACAGAGAGCGTAAGCACATCAGCTTAAAGAAAGCGATGTTAAGGCAGCAGGGGGTGCTCGATGGTTCAGTAGGCCCACGGCATTCGTGAGCCAGCGGCAGTAGTGATCATATCTCCGGATCGGCTGCTTGAAGAGCCACATCTTGTGGCATCGCCGTGGCAGCGCCACTGATCCATCCGCCGTGGGGTTCACCTGCGTGAAAGCCTCGAGCTCCTGGCAGAAGCAGGCAGGCTCGCAGCCCCTGCAGCCTCAGCCGAAGCCCCTAAGCTCGAAGCCTACAAGCCCTACGCCTCAGAAGGACAGGCTCCGTGTCTAAAACGCCAAGTTCAGAAGGCTGCCCCTAAAGCGCAACAAAACGCAAACCCCTCCTTGGGCTGCAGCTTGCCGGGATCACAGAGCACGCAGTAGACTTGGCACCCCAAGGTCACCTGCGGAAGGTTTCTGAAGGGCTTGACGTTTGGGGTTTGACGTTTGGGGTGCCCTCGTGGATTCAGTTTAGCTCATTCCGGGCCTGACAGGTTTGATCCTTCTGGGATTATCGGGCTGGGGCTTAGTGTCTATCTCGAATGTCTAGGGCTTGGGGTTGCCTAGTGGTCTTGGATTCGAAGGGGGGACTTAGAGGTGGGGTAGTTTTAATATAAAAAGGAGTATGAAGGACGCATATCATGCTGCTGTGTGGCTGTGTAGACACAGAGGAAGTAGCCGCGAAGCCCGTATGCCGAAGGGAGGTCGCGGTAGATCAACGGGAACTCCACCTGCATGCTCATGGATTCAACTTCTGGGAGTGGGGGCATGGAGTGTAGCAGACGAAACGCTTCAACGCAGTGGCGCCTTACTGCACTAGGACTGTGTGCATGCTGGGGGGGGTTCAACCGCCAGGAGTCAGCTACTAGCGCTTTTCAATTTGTGAAAACGGTCCCTTCACGAATGACTTCATTGCACACAGATTCCTCCTGAATGTAAGTGAATGTTGGGTTTCGAGATGCCAGGGCTCATGGCCAAGGTCTTGATGTTTTCACGGACAGCTCCACAAAGAGCCAAGCCGCCATGAGCATGTGGATGGAACCCACCAGTGTGGAACCAAAGAGCAGCAGGGGAAGGTACGGGCGCTTGTCATTGCCTGCAAGCATTGGGTCTGCTGACACGACATGGTTAAACTAAGGACAACAGCCTTAGTGGAGAGAGGCTTCCGGCGTGAGCAGGTGCACCTAATTCCTGATTGTGGCACACCTGGCAGTTTGGGTCTCGATGTAAGTCTGCCCCCCTGGCTTGAAGAAACTAAGCATCTCCATGCTGTGACGGATAACGCCAACAGCATGACCACAGCATCATGAATCATGACCAGCATCAGAAGCATCGTCAGCAGCATCATGTTCATACTGAGCCCTGACCCGAAAAACTGTGTGGTTGCCCACCTGCCGCCGCCTTGTCACCTAACTCTCAACGGCCCAACAAACCCCGAACATTCGTGGCTGCCCCGAACTCCTGAGGCCTTAACATGAAGAAAGTGCCTCGAAAACCGACCCTTCTGCAAAGGAACCCCAAGCCCCCTAAGCCCCGAAGATCCCGAACCTCCCAGAAGCTTCCACACGAGGCCCCAGCAGCCCACGCAACGCCCACTCGTCCAACCAAGGCACCAAGGCAGTCTACGCTGTCCGCCGGCGGCCGGCGCTCATCCCCGCACTCGTCAGCATCGCACTCCTCTTGCTGAGGGTCGGGGGGTGTGGAAGTGGAAAGTTCCAAGTCTGGGGTTTAAAGTCTCAGGGTCTGAAGCGGAGGACGGAAAGCAGTGTTGACACGCGACCTTTTCGGAGTCCAGGGGCTGAGAATCAAAAACCCCTAGCATGTTTCAGCTCGACTGAAACGACGATGAGTAGAAATCGGACAACCCAGCTCAGTTTGTTCGCGTTGCTGGACTTGTTGGACATCCCCGAAACCCAAGATGCCCACCCCGGAACCCGAAGCACCTCCAAACAAGATCCCAAAACACCCGAAAAACTCCCATACCTCGAAGACCGCTAAACCCCAGTGCCTCTTCGGCACACTGCTGCTCCTGGCCGCAAGGCACGAAAGCCCCTTGTATGCCTTCTGGGCAGGTTCCGGGGGCCTCTCTGGGGCTTGCAGACTTCTTGATTTGGGCTTTGGCTTTAAGATGACGTCAAGGCTACCCCCTTGACAGTCCAGAAAAGACAACCAATCCATGACAGCTTGACGACTTGCTTGCTATACTCGCAGCTGACATGGAACAACAACTCCAAGCTGAGGATGTTGTAGAGTATCCAGTCCTGAGCATCCGTGCAAGCCGAGGCCGTTCGCGGCGCTCGCTGTGTCGAAGCGACACGGGGCACCTGGCAGTGGATTCAAGCTCGCTGCGACGTTGAAGAGTGGCAAATCTCTGGACCAGGCTGGCCTCCCTAATTCCACCCCTTTTCTCCCAAAGCCGTGAACCCAAACTCGACATCCCGAAGCTTGGACTGCCAACTGCCGAAAAAAAAACAAGTTGCCCAAATCCCAGACAACTTAATACTCCCGAAATGGGAAGCTCCAACTGTAGCAGTTAAAAGTAAAGGGAGCTCAAAAATGGTGATGACAGGAATCCACATTCCACTCCCGCCTTGTGGCGTGGTGTTGGCAATGTCGCCGGCGGCTCGCTGGGAGCCTCCCGGGGTAGAGGGTTCCGGTGCCCCCAAACTCTCTCTGCTCTTTCATGCCCGGAACCGGAAGGACTTGGGTATCTAGCGCTTCAAAAAGTCTTTTCGTTCAATCTGATCAATGAGTGCGAAGCCTACATCCTACCTTGCCCTGGACCGGCTCAGTGAGTTATGGCACTTCGCCCTTCCTTCCGCGGAGGGCTCAGCAAACCAGCTTCGCGATCTGCCATGGCTAACTCGGATGCGGCCGTTCTTGACTTTCTACAAAAGTGAGATCGCAAAGGGCTGGTATGCGCTAAGGGCGCAAGCTGTTTTCTGGTAGCAGCGATTCCAGGCTTTTTTGGATCTTGGTCGGCCGGTTTAGGCTTGGTGCTTAAGAATAGACACCTTTCATCATGGTTCAAGAATGTATTGAAACATCCACGAAAATCTGCAGCTTGTTGCGATCCGCATTTATTCAAAGCCAAGTTCACACAACGATTGGAAGCTGGGGTAGCTTGGAGCCGTCGACGCAAGGCTGCGGACTTTCACATGTTCGCCACCCAAGCCAAAACACGCCATGAATTTTTCAAGACTCTTGGGGACTACCAAGACCACTTTGCCGATCTCCCATCCATGGCGGATCCCAGGCGCTGCAAAAAACAACCGCTGCGCACAACACGCTGCAACCTGCAGCCACTTTGCCAAGGACCTGCGAGGTCACATGCACAGGTGCCTTTTGCTCGCAACTCTTCTTATCGGCACGTGACACTACGAAGGCGACCACCCCGCTTACAATTGCAGCATGTTAGGGCGCCCCTTACATGTAAGCATTATCAGCTTGATTACTTGCTGGCATGTGTCAGTGCGCGTCAATGCTTCTTCATGTACGGCAATGGCTCGTGTCCTCCAAACGAAGAAGCCGTACCCTCTTGCCCCCAGAGACTCCGAGCGTGGCAGCTCTGGAGTTGGCACCGACATGGGGACACGCGCAATGTTGCCATGTTCTGGGCCCAGGTATCCTAAAAAACCCCAAACATGCCGAACTGTTCAAAAAAATTTCGTCGTATGGAATGTTTGTACCGAAACGTGTCTCTTTCCGTTTCTGCTTTGTTCTTATAACTTAGTCCCATGGTTTTCGGCAGCACTACTGGCCGACATGAAGGGAAACGCGCAAATTGAGAAGTGTACCATATTAGACCGTACTTCAAGCCTCCGGGCCATGCAATC